CTGGAACTACAGGCACCCGCCACCATGCCTGGCTCTTTTTTTTTTTTGTATTTTTAGTAGAGACGGGGTTTCACCGTGTTAGCCAGGATGGTCTCATCTCCTGACCTTGTGACCCACCTGTCTCAGCCTCCCCAAGTGCTGGGATTACCAGCGTGAACCACCGCACTCGGCCACAAAATGTACTTCTTAAATCATAAGACTTGAAAGTCAAAATTACTCCCTGATCTGTGGGCCGCAGAACGGATGCTGCGTTAGCAGGCATGAAAACAACATTAATCTTCCTGCACACTTCCATCAGAGCTCTTGAGTGACCAACTACATTGTCAATAAGCAGTAATCTTTTGAAGGAAATCTTTTTTTTTTTTTCCTGAACAGTAGATCTCAACAGTGGACTTCACATGCTCAGGAAACCATGCTGTGAAACAGATGGGCTGTCATCCAGGCTTTATTTTTCCATTTATAGAGCTCAGGAAGAGTAAATTTAGCATAATTCTTAAGGGCTCTAGAATTTTAGAATGGCAAATGAGCACTGACTGAAACTTCAAGCTGCCAGATGCATTAACCCCTAACAAGAGAATCAGCCTATTAAGTTTTGCAGCCAGGTATTGACTTCTCTCTAGCTATGAAAGTCTCAGATGGCATTTTTTTCCAACAAAAGGCTCTTCTACATTAAATATCATTTTATAGTATAGCCACCTTCATCAATGATCCCGGTTAGATCTTCTGCATAACTTGCTGCAACTTCTACATCAGTACTTGCTGCTTCACCTTGCACTTTTATGTTATGGAGGTGGCTTCTTTCTTTCAACCTCATGAAGCAACCTCTGTTAACTTCAGACTTTTCTTCTACAGCTTCTTCACCTTTCTCAGCCCTCACAGAACTGAAAAGAGTTAAAACCTTTCTCTGAATTTAGTCCAGACCACTAAAGCTTTCTCCATATCAGCAATTACACTGTTTCACTTTCTTATTGTTCGTGTGTTCACCAGAGTAGCACTTTTGATTTCCTTCAAGAACTTTTCCTTTGAAATCATAACTTGGCTGTTTGGTACAAGAGGCCCAACTTTGAGTGGATCTTGGTTTTCAACATGCCTTCCTCACTAAGTTTAATAATTTCTAGTATTTGATTTAAAGTGAGAGACATACAACTCTTCCTTCACTTGAACACTTAGAGGGCATTGTAAGGTTATCCATCGGCCTAATTTCAATACTGCTGTGTCTCAGGGAATAGGGAGACCCTAGAAGAGGGAGAGAGACAAGAAGCAGCTAGTCCATGGAGCAATGAGAACACACATTTATTGATTAAGTTCAACATTAATATGGGTGTAGTTCATGGTGTCCGAAAACTGACAATAATATCATCAAGGATCACTGATCACAGATCACCATAAAATTGATAATCATGAAAAAGCCTGAAATATTGTGAGAACTACCAAAACGTGCCACAGAGACACAAAGTGGGCACATGCTCTTAGAAAAACAGCACCAACAGACTTGCTCAATGCAGGGTTGCCACAAACCTATAGTCTGTAAAAAATGCGATATCTACAAAGCACAGTAGAGTGAAGTACAATAAAATGAGGCATACCTGTATACACACAGACATGATACATAAATATACATATCTGAATGCATAAGACAGTGAGGCAGTCAGGATGAAGGGTGTGATGTGGAGAGAAAGGATATTCGCTGAGGTGAGGACAATGTGAGGACACACCACATTTCTCCTTGAGGCATTTGCTACATCTTAGGCACAAGTGGCCAAGAAGCTAGGCAGAGCCTTAGGCAATCTCACGGGGGCTAGGAGGTAAAAATTAGAATTTAGAATTACCAAAGAAGGGAGAAACTGAATAGTCTAGATCCTGTAGAGAAATGAGGTCCAAATAAGTCAGACTGACACTGGGTGACAGTTTTCCCTTCTAGGCATTGACTGATTGAGCAGCTAAGAAGAGAAGCAAAGACCAGGTGACAAACAGAGTACAGACTTTGGCAATTTCATTGTGATGGGGAAACAAAAATTGTAGTTCCTGACTCATCAAGAATGAGAGGCCCTGTGACATACCCCAGACTCTCACTGGGAGTCTTGGACATCTTCATATAAAAAGATGTGCGTAGGGGGTGGGGAAGGACAGGCTAGAAATAGTCCAAGTCCAGCTAGTGTAGTCCCTGACTGGACTGAAGTGATCTGCTTCTTTGTTGTCTGCCAGAGGACAGGGTGAATCCTCTCTGGAAAGAGAAAACATCAACTAGAGCTTTGGTGCTTTTTTAAAATTAATAAACTTTATGTTTTAGAGCAGTTTTGGCTTCACATCAGAATTGAGCAGAAAGTACAGAGTTCCCACATATACACTGTCCGCATACATGACAACCTCTCCTACTATCAACATTTTGCTTTACAGTGGTACATCTATTACAATGAACTTATATTGACACAGCATTACCACCCAAAGTCAACAGTTTACATTAGGGTCCATGCTTTGCTTTGTACATTCTATGAATTTTAACAAAAGTATAATGACATGTATCTACCACTGCACCTCTATAATTTTTTTTATACACCATGTTTAGTCAATATAATTACAAGGCATTTTAGGAGCAGGACCAAGAAGAGTAAAGAAAATAGATTCATATATTGAACTTATTAGCTATGGACCTGATCAAAATGTCTGCACTCCCATGTTTCTTGTGGCACTGTTCACAATAACTAATATTTGGAAGCAACCTAAATGTCCATCAGCAGATGAATGAACAAAGAAAATGTGGTATATATACACAATGGAGTACTACTCAGCCATAAAAAAGAATAAGATCCTGTCATTTCCAACAACATGGATAGAACTGGAGATCATTACGTTAAGTCAAATAAGCCAGGCACAGAAAGACAAACATCACATGTTCTCACTTATTTGTGGGATCTAAAAATCAAAACAATCGAACTCATGGACACAGAGAGTAAAAGGATGGTTACCAGAGGCAGGCAAGGGTAATAGAGGGTTGAGGGAGAGGTGGGGAAAGTTAATGAGTACAAAAAATAGAATGAGTAAGACTTACTATTTGATAGCACAATAGGATGACTATAGTCAATAATAACTGTACATTTCAAAATAACTAAAAGAATGTAATTGGATTGCCTGTAACAAAAAGGATAAATGCTTGAGGAGATGGATACCCCATTCTTCTTGATGTGATTATTTCACATTACATGCCTGTATCAAACACCTCATGTAGCCCACAAATATACACACCTACTATGTACCCACAAAAATTAAAAATAAATTTTTTTTAAAAAAAATCTGTGGTCAATTACGAATACATCACAACGGAAATTTTAAAATATTTTAACTGAATGATAATGAACATATATCAAGCCTTGTATGATGCAGCTAAAACTGTTTCTAAATAATATTTATAGCTTTAAATTCATAAGTTAGCAAAGTGGTTGCAAATCAATTATCTGAGTATCTGTGTCAAGAAGTTAAGGAAAAAAAAAAAACAAATTAAACTCAAAGAAAAGTAGAAGAAAGTAATAAAGATACCAGAAAATATTAGTAAAACAAAAATTCAACATTCTAAAAATGACAAAATGAAAATCTGGTTCTGGTTCTTTTAAAAGACAAAATAGACAAACTCTTAGAAAGACACTACTAAAAAAAGAAGAGAAGACAATCTACCAATATCAAAAACAATAAATATAAATCACTGCAGACCCTAGAGAATTTAAAATAATCTTAAGAGAATATTTTAAACAATCTTTTTGCTAATAAATTTGAATATTCATATTAAATGAAAAAAATCTCAGCAAAAAATATTAGTTTACCTGAATTGCTCCCAGAAGAAATATAAAATCTAAATGGTCTTAGCTGTATTACATAAGTTGAATCTGTAACTTAAAACTCTCCCATAAAGAAATTTTTAGGTTTAAAAGGTGTGATCAGTGATTTCTTCCAAATATTTAAAGAAGAAATAGCACTGCTCTTACACAACGCTTCCAGAGCTGTTTATTTATGGAACACTACACACAAAACTAAAAGGCATTATTGAAAGACATTTAAAGAGGCTCTAAATAAATGGAGAAACAGACATTAGTGGAGTGATCATTTTAAACACTGGAAGATTCAATATCATAAAGATATGATTCATTTAAATTCATCTATGTATTACACTCAAGGCTACTTTGGAAGTTTTTTTTTTTTTAATTATTTAAAATAGGGTGATTCTAAATGAATGTGAATCTAGCCAAGAATAGACCATGCCATTGTGAAGGAGAAGAACAACAAAATTGGAGGACCTACATTTATATGAGGAAAAGGAACCAGACACAACAGAGTAGTAGCATATGATGCCAATTACATGTATTTCAAAAATAGACAAAATGAATCTATGGTGTTAGAAGGTAGAACGGTGGTTACTGTCAGGGGAGAGTAGCGTCTGGTAGAAGACCTGTGTAGGATTTCTTAGGTGTTGATAATGTTTTCTCAACCTGGCAGTGGTTACACAGTTGTATTTACTTCATAAAAATGTACTGAGCTGTATACATAGGTTTTGTATGCTTTTCAGTGGGTAGGTTAGAGTTCAATAAAAAGTTTACTTTAAAACACAGCTGCCTCAGAGATTCTCAAATCAGTCAATTCTGGGGACTGCTTCCATAGTGAAGGTGAGCCACCACACACCCAAGGACCATTACGCACCAGCTAGAGCTCATCTGACTTTCCCAGGAAGTCAGATTAAAATTAGGGTGAGCGGTGACCCCAGTGATGATCCTGGGGATTCCCTGCCACTTGTATAACCAAGCTTACATTTCCTTACCATTCTCCTTACTTTTTTTTTTTTTTTTTGAGATGGAGTCTTGCTCTGTCCCCCAGGCTGGAGTGCAGTGGCACGATCTCGGCTCACTGCAAGCTCCGCCTCCTGGGTTCATGCCATTCTCCTACCTCAGCCTCCCAGGTGGCTGGGACTACAGGCGCTTGCCACCATGCCTGGCTAATTTTTTGTATTTTTAGTAGACATGGGGTTTCACTGTGTTAGCCAGGATGGTCTCAATCTCCTGACCTTGTGATCTGCCCGCCTCAGCCTCCCAAAGTGCTGGGATTATGAGTCACCGCGCCCGGCCCCTTTCTCCTTAACTTCTTTCTTCATGCTCAGCTCGAGTCTTGAACTCCACCCCATGCCCACAGTTTCCTAGGGATCACCTCCTGCCTGTGCCCTCTGGCTCACCCTTGGACACATGGCATTCACCATCTTAGAGTGTCCTTGCCCCAGTTTAAAATTTGATCTAAATACATACCCAAGAGCAACACCATGACCTTTCTCAGAATTCGCAGTAACCTGTATAAAACTGATGGTGATACCTACGCTGTGTCACTCAGGTTATCTTGACCACTAACCTGGCCTCATTATTTTCCCTGACTTATGGTGACCCACAAGCCAGCCATAACAAAAAAAGCTTGGTCTGAGTTAAGCTTAAGATGAGTACAGTTCAGCAGAATACCAATCCTAGAGAGTGTTGAGATATTCAGCTAAAACATAAGCCCCTGCTTTTTTTCGAGACTAGATTGGATTTGATGATTTAGTATAATCTCATCCTCCCTCCTCAGATCTTTCCCAGGGTCTAAAGAAATTGATTTCAGGGCTCTTTCTGAGATTTCTACTTACATGAAGCCATGACATGTTTCTGTGGTAATTCTCCTCCGTGCCGGCATTACTCATTCCCTCTGGCTCGATGCTGGGCTCGCTTGCACTCCAAGGACTCCCTTCTTCAAAAAAAAAAAAAAAAAACCAAGAAAGGTTTCAGTGTTCGGTCTCCCTGGAGAGCATGTCGGTATGGTACAGTTGCCCATGCTTCTGAATCCTAGGGCAGACTACCATGGCCCAGTGGGTTACAGGGCATAGCACTGACTTGGAGGAATATTAACAGGAGCTGTCCCCTTCATCACCAGCTGAACTGGCAATTTCAAAGACATTTATGATCTCTGTTATGGTGGCTTCCATTTTGAGAGATGGGAGCAGAGAAAAAAAACAGAGTCAAGTCCTTGAATTGCTGAGATGAGCCAGTTATTGACTGAGTGTGCCCAAATCCATTCCAGACTGACCAGACCTTGCAGGTGTATTTAAGGAGGGACAGCAACTAACTGGCCTCACAGTGACTGCTGTCTCCATTGTTCTGTGACTGCAACTAGTGCTATTACTCTAGCCACCAGGTTTTGCTACCACAGCTATGTCAAAGATGGGCAGGTGCCTATGAAAAACTAAGGGAATTCGGAAGCAATTATGTCCAACTGTGGACAGCCCTTGTGTCCAAACTCCTCTCTATGGCAAAGTATAAAGGAGATAGCTCTCAAAAATTCCCTACTTGGTACACTACATAACAAAGTTTTCCCTCAAATCTACAAAATTTTATAGATCTTTTTAATGACAAAACAATTTCTTCAACCTGGCTATTTTGACTCAATTGGTCAGGATAAATCGATCAATTTAAATAATTAATTGCAATAGTTTTGCCCCAAATTAACTGATAATAATGCTCTAGCTTCAGACTTATAACAAAAGAAATCATACATACTTTTTAAAAAATGTCTCCTTAGGAAATAAGCAGAATCTTAAGTAATGCATAAATCAGCTATTTTCAAAGGCGAGGGTGGGTGGATACAGAAGCATTTTCTATTTTAAACCTTCTTTGATGAAATATACTCAGCTTTTATTTCAGCAGACTTGATCGATAATTTATCCACACTTCTTGCTGACTTTTGAAACTACTTACCTAGTAAGGAGAGCTTTCTATTTTGCCTTGCATACAGAGACTGAATGGCAAAGTGAATGTGCTTCAACTTTTACCTAATATTTAATGTTAGGCAGCTGGTGAGTTCTATTTTCATGCCTACTGTATCTTTTGCTTGTCTATTAAGATACTAATTAGGGCTCATATTTTGGACTGCTGTATTTTGGTATTTGGAATTTCTTTAGAGCCTACAATGACAATCTATAACTCTCAGGCTTTGACTGTATATTAAGTTCATTCTCAGGTGTTTGACACATTGTATGGTCATCTTCTAATTTATCTTTACAGCATCCTTGCATTCTAGGCAAGAATTATTCTCACTGTGTAGTCAGAGAAAACAAATCCCTGAGAAGCTAAATGACTTGTTGAAGATCACTCATTGTCAGGTCTAGACTATCTTAACTCTCTGATATTTTGGTTGTTCATATTGTTAAATAGAGACTTTAAAATATAGAGAATCTTTAGGTAGTCCTCCCCAAGGGAATTACTACATTTGACATTGAAGGTTCTGATCAAAAGAATGAATACACAAGTATCTGAATTTCAAAGACTGTCCTGGTCATTAAAGTGTTTTCTTTCTCTAACATATACTCCACACCCTTGCTGCTCAAAGTGTGGTCCTTGAATCAGCAGCATCAGCTCCACGAGAAAGCTTGTTAAACATGTAGAATCTCAGATCCCCACCCCAGATCTGCTGAATCAGAATCTGCATTTTAACAAGCCTCTCCAGTGACCCGTATGCACATCAAGGCTTCAGCTGCCTTGCTCTAGCAAGGGTAGTAGCAAGGGTAGTATGGTTTTCAGGCTGAATAGCTTGTCTACCCTATGGCTCTGCCCTCCATCTATTTATGTGTAAGAAAATGGACTTCAGCTTGTTTCAGGACTTGGGCCCTGTCTTCCTACCCCCCACGTCCCTGCACACCCCACTCCTCTATGTTACCTAGGTCAGTGACAGTGTCCCTGCTCTGGGACAGCTGCAGCTCCTCAGCCTCAGACTCTGAGTCCTGCCGTGATAACTTGCTGCTCTTTAAGCTGCCGACCCGGCGAATGCTGGACAAGGAACCCCCCTTCTTCACCTGGAAACTGCGGGTTCCTTTAATCTGGAGCAGACGAGAACCTCCTATCCTGATCTTCCTGCTGGGAACTGTATTAAAAGAATAAAATAGGGCTTTTTCCCCCTTAGTGTTCCCCAGCCAGTGTTATATCCATCTCTCCCCAACTTGTCCCTGATCAGCCGCCTCTGCTGGCCTGGATGAGCACTCTGAACAAGGAGCTTCTCCCAAGCCCCCAGTCCTGCAGGACCCACCAGGAAGGGCTGGTGCAGCTTCTTTCTTGGACACAAAGCTCATCGGAACTGGGAACGACCTGCTCTCTTTCTGGCCCAGGTTTCACAAGCATGAGTGTGCCTTTGGGGCAGCATCAACTAGGACTATTAGTACACTTGTATCACAGGATTCCTTGATTCAAGAGAACCACAAACCATTTGCTTTTGCTTTCCTTTCAAAATGGGACTTACAGACTTCTGTAAGCTGTCACGTAAACCCCTTCATTTTGGAATACCTCATTCAGAAATAAGAACCAAAGGTGCTTCTCTCTGCAATAGTCAGCAGTGGCTTCCACTCTGCTCCTCAGAAAAGGCACTAAACAATCTGTTTTCACTCGGGTGAGCATGAGTGTGAAATGGCTCTATTTTCAATGTACCTAATGATTTCATACTATCCTCCTCTCAGTCAAAAGGCTGGGTGAAATGTGATTCCAAATGGTGCAAACCCCTGAGCCAATCTTATAACAGTCTATGCATACCAAGAAGAATATGCATTATTCATCTTTAGTCTTCTGGAAGAAATAGTAATTAGTGAGGAAAATAAAAGAGTAAAAGAAATGCATTTAAACTTGGAGCCTATCTTTATTTAAATCAACAGTATCCTTATTTCCCATAGTCATATACACACCTTCCTTTTCTTTTGAAGATTTGGTGTTGTCAAACATTGATTTTATAAGGGTGGGATAAAGTAAGTTTTAGGGCTTAAAGTCCATTATCAGGAAGGAGCCAGTTTTATAAGCTTAGCATCTTAAGACATGAACAAGATTTCTTACTAATTGTTTAAGGCACAGTTACTAATATTTTAAAAGTACCAATCAGAAAGTTTGCATGTTAGTTTCAGGTTTCTCATTCACGAGAGAGTTAATATGTGACTGTGATAGAACTTGTATAACTAAAACGTTAGCTAAATGTATACTTTTAACGCCATTTAAAGGAGGTCAGAAGACTTTCTCCTGAACAATGTGAAAGTTCTGATTTACTGTTGTGATGGAGAAATAAAAAAATTATCACCATGCAGCTGGTAAAGGCCCCATGGAGCTCCCTGAACACATCTGAGTAGAATTTCACATCTGGATGGAATTTCTTGTGGTACAGTTAGACAAATCCCACAAAGATTATGAACCATAATGCTGCATTTTAATTATGGCACAAAGCACACACTATATTTTTCAATATTATTTTTATGTTTAGTTGAGACTTTATCACCTATCTGAAATACGTTTGAAACAGAATATAATTAAAATTTTTTAATGACTACAAGTGCAATTTCATGTCTAAGTAGATTCAGAAGTACAGAAAATATTAAACAGATAATTCTTAGATTTTTACAGAGGTACACACTAATATTCTTTGCCCAATTTTATGACACTTTTTGGCCTACAGATGCAGCAAAATAAACCCAAATTAATGTAATCAGAAAGAAATTTAATTTTGAGAGCTTGTTCCACCAAAAAGGATAGTTGGAGATATCCTATAGCACTGAAAAATTACAGTTCAGAATTGTGGCATTGGTTATTTACAAGGGGCACAGCAGTTAGAATTTATATTTGGTATTGTACATGAAAAACATCAGTTGAGATTGTGCAGCATTGAATTGTAGCCTTTATCTCCATGACAACAAGAACTAGTACAAAAGTGAAACAAATCCATCTAAATTGGATAAAACATCTTTGGCCTTTTCTTTCACCTTACATTGTATCAATTAGCAAGTTCTGTTGGCTGTATATTTCAAAATATCATAGGATTTTGACAGCTCCATCCCCTTTTCCCTGGACTAATGTAACTACCTAACTGCTTCACCTTTCCCTCTACTCCATAGATTGAGTCATCTTTTAAATGCATAAATCATAAATACACACTTTATATCACATTTCTGGTAAAACCTACCAACAACTCTGATGCACTTAAAACAGAATTAAATTTCTAACCACATCTACCAGACCCTGTTTGCCCTTTACATTACATTTCCAACCCATCTCCTACTATTCTAAATAATTATTTCACTTGAATTTTTCCTGGTAGAATCTGAATTGTCCTCAGGGTGTTTATTTCAAGAACTGGCATTTTCAGGTTTTATAAAACCAAATGGTATAAAATTTTAAAAACTGTAATTAGCAGTGTCTCTATTGTCTTCATTTTCACATAGGCTTCAGTAGCTGACAGCTTGTCAAATGGATTAAGGAATATTTAGGAATCTTTGGGAAGATTTTTGTCAACTGATTAAGGACATTTTATGGAGATATAGATATAATAGCTCCAGTTTTCCATTCTTTATTAAACAACTTTCATATATTAACATAACCATTCTGTGAGTAGAAAAAATATTGAGCATTTGAGTGTTGAAATATTAAAGCCAATTTACATAAATAATAATCATCAAATTAAAGTGTTCTTAAAATTAATCAGATATTTATTTTATAAAATGGTATAAAATTTACTCTGCTGAAGTTTAATCATGTAGTATTAGTAATTATCTACTATCTTAAATATAATTAGCATAATAACTTTGAATGACAAAAGATTGCCTTCTAAATTAAAATCTCTTTGGGATATGTTTAAAAGAGAGAAGCTTCTCATCACATGCAGTATAATTGTCTGAAGTAAGTAATATTTGAAAAAATATTGATTTGATACTTCTTCGTCCTCAAAAATCGCTCAAGATTTGACTTATCCTTCCTGCAACATGGCCTCTTTGGGCCAATTCAATAGAATATGATATATGATTATCTGTATTTTAAGAATGTTATGACATTTTAATCTTGAACTATTCAAACTTTTCCCAATGTATATCTATTCCCTTTAAAATATTTTTTGTTTTCTCTACACAGGGCTATTCCTTCTAAGAATCATTCATTCATTGTTATCCAAAATTTATTGACTCATTGTCTGTAGGATGCTAGAAAACACTTCAACACATAAAATAACCTTTGACTCTTCTAGCAAATGTGCAGATGTTCTTTTAATTGAAATTCACTGGAAAAACATGGAAGGGCAATGGAATTTTTAAAATGGCAAAATCAAATAGTGAAGTTGGCAGTTTAAAGGAGGCCCTAGAGGGCAACTTAAAACTTTGCAATCTTTAGTTCATAGTTAGGATTTTCTATGTGGGTTCTAATCTAGATGCTCACAATGTATATTTAAAAACCCAACAACAGCTATTTATTGTGTACCTACAATTCACCAGGTATTAAGTTTACACTTCACTTGCATCGTCTTATTAAAAGTTTTCAACATCACAATGCAGTAGGTGTTAACCCAGTTTTACAGAAAAGAGAACTGTGTCTTAGAAGGTAAATAACTTGGACAAAGCCACATAGTGAGTTACTATATTTCACCCATTTTAAGTTGTTCACATTTTAACATATCTGGAAATCAGTATTTGACATGCAAGAGATGACATCTTATGATCACTTGCACCAGGTAGCAGTTGTGACACCTTTGTTATTGCTTGTCTGTGTGAAAAATGTAAAACACCAGCAAAAAGATAAACAGAAAGACAGGATCTTTTAACCCTAAGGAACAAAGTGATAGTGAGGGGTAGGTGGGTGTGTGAGGTGGTAAGTCAGATGTGTTTAGCAACATTCCTTAAGAGGGACTAAAGGTGGGCTAACTTCATATGGGTGCAAGTTGGCTTAAGTAATTAGCACAAAAAGCTTTACTTCTTTTGTGAATCCGTCTAAGAAACAATGCATCACTAACATTGTGATGGCACAGAGGACGTTATCATATATAGAAACATAGACATTAGATAACTGTGAGTTGAAAAGTAATTAAGAGATTTAAACTCTGAGTTGACGATGGTTTACAAAAACTTTAACCAGTTTTTATATATATATATAGGATTTCATGAGAATTATATATAGTAATAATAATAATAATAAACAACATCTAATTAGGTCTGAAAGTCCTTTTTCAATAAGAATAAAAGACAAGCATCTGGGCGTGGTGGCTCATACCTGTAATTCCAACACTTTGGGAGGCCGAGGCGGTTGGATCACCTGAGGTCAGGAGTTTGAGACCAGCCTGGCCAACATGGTGAAACCTTGTCTCTACCAACAATACAAAAATTAAGAAAATGTGGCACATATACACCATGGAACACTATGCAGCCATAAAAAAGGATGAGATCATGTTCTTTGCAGGGCCATGGACGAAGCTGGAAACCGTCATTCTCAGCAAACTAACACAGGAACAGAAAACCAAACACTGCAAGTTCTCACTCATAAGTGGGAGTTGAGCAATGAGAAACATGAACATAGGGAGGGGAACATCACTCACCAGGCCCTGCCACGGGGTGGGAGGCTTGGCGGGGGATAGCATTAGGAGAAACACCTAATGTAGATGACAGGTTGATGGGTGCAGAAAACCACCATGGCACGTGTATACCTATGAAACAAATCTGCACGTTCTGCAAGTGTATCCCGGAACTTAAAGTATTAAAAAAAGACTTACGGACAGAGGGACAAAAACATGCATGACCAAATTAGGCCAAGGTGTGTATGTGCATGCAAGTGGGTGAATTTAAGTTAATTATAATGGAAATGATATGTACAGATGGAAAATACTGAACTATTTTTAAAATACCACTGTCTAGAAAACATTCTTAGCCAGGCCAAAAGAAATTCTGTAAACGCTGTAACACTTTTTTCTTAAATAACATGGTTCCATAAATAACTTTTCTAGGTCATTCTTATCTACTGAAAAAATTACAAGCAACCTGTAGGCTGACTATATTACTAGAAGACTTATAAGGTAGTCTCCCATTTAAAAAATCAAATATAAAACCTTCACATCTGGTTAATATCTGGTCTATTGCATGGTTATGGAACTTGTTCTAATGTGCATTTAGCAATGCAGAAAGACTGTAGCTGTTCTTTCTCTCTTCATAGTTTCATAAAAATGATTAAATAAGCCTAGTGCTTTATTAATTGATGAGATTAGCCCTACAAGTGTTTAGCAGAGGTGTAGTTTTTAAAACGAGATTCTGTTTACCAAATTAGTTTTACATTAAGTAATGGTCCCCAAGAATTTGGTACGAATGGATGCCATTGATGTTAAGATAATTGAGAAATATAATATTATTTTTTCTCTTTTTATTATGTTTTACATTTTAACAAAAGCATATTAGGAAAATTTTAAAAAATACAAAAATTAGCCGGACGTGGCGGTGGGCACCTGTAATCCCAGCTACTGGGGAGGCTGAGGCAGGTGAATAACTTGAACCTAGGAGGCGGAAGTTGCAGTGAGCCGAGATTGTGCCACTGCACTCCAGCCTGGTGGACAAAGTGAGACTCTGTCTCAAAAACAAACAAAAAAACAATAAAAGACAAGCTAAGTGATAAGAGAGTATTATGTAAAAGTTCAATTGGGAGTATTTTTCTTTTCTTATTGGTAAATAAAATAAGGGTTCATCTTACAGCTTTAATGGAATAAGGAGAGTTTCTGAGCTGGAATTGGAAGCCAGGCTTCTCTGACTGCCGAGACCAACTTTTAACAAGCATGATTTTCCATCATAAAGCCTACACAGTCAGTACTGTAGGGAGTTAACAATTTGGGGACACAATTTTGTAGTTTAGACCCCAGTGCAAATATCCTATGAGAAACCCTGACACATGAAGGAGTCTTTGTGTTTCCGTACCTTTCTTCTCCTCGACTCCTGCATCTGATTTGAGAGTGTGGCTGCTGCTGTGGAGAGAATCTTTCGAGTCTTCGTTTTCGTCCAGGACCCCAGCAAAACTGATCTTCCTCTCATATCTGTGCCGATCCAACTCGGGATCCAAACGAAGTCTGCAGCTCTCCAAGTCCTAAAATGCCAGCGAGGAGCACATGAGTGCTGGCATCTCCCCAGCACTGCTCTGCTCTTGCGGCAAGCCTCCCTCCATTTTGAATTATACGCAACTGCGCTTAAACAGCCAGATTCCTTTATCTGCTGCTAATTTTAGATTGTGACCATGCAAAGCTATTCTTGACTTTAAAAATAAATAAAATATTTCCTAATTCATAGTATTTTTCCCCTTTTCCTCACATGCTTTACCTTCCAAAAGCATAGGCCTTGATCCAAATCCACAACTATCTTCCTTACCTTCTAACTCTTTGTCCAGTTTTGGCTGCATCTTTGGCCTTTTATTTAAAAATCACGCATCAAGCATGGACGTGTTAGGTGCTGAAGGATAAATAAGGATTTTTTTTTTTTTTTAAATCTCTAAAGGAGCTCAGAATCCCAAGATAGAAACTAAGAAGGCAAACAAGTGATAAATTTTAAGACTGAGAGTAGGAGCTCAGAAAGCAGGTTCGGAACTGTGCTTGACAGAATAATAGCTCCCCAAAGATGCCCTAATCCCTGGCACCTGTCAATACGTTGCCTCACATGGCAACAAGGATTTTGTAGATGTGATTAAGGCTAAGAACCTTAAGATTGGGAGATTATTCCAGGCTAGCTAAATGGGCCCAATCACAAATCCTTAAAAGTGGAGAGCCTTTCCAGGCTGCAGTCAGCGGAAGCTGTGGCTATGAAAGGAAGATGAGAGAGATACCACGTTTCTAGCTACAAAGATGGGGGGCCGGGCGCGGTGGCTCACGCCTGTAATCCCAGCACTTTGGGAGTCCGAGGCAGGCGAATCACGAGGTCAGGAGATCGAGACCATCCTGGCTCCAACGGTGAAACCCCGTCTCTACCGAAAGTACAAAAATTTAGCCTGGTGCGGTCGCACGCGCCTGTAGTCCCAGCTACTCGGGAGGCTGAGGCAGGAGAATCGCGCGAACCCGGGAGGCGGAGCTTACAGTGAGCCGAGATTGCACACCACTACTCTCACGCCTGGGCGACAGAACAAGACTCCGTCTCAAAAAAAA